GTGCAAAACAGTTTCTGTACAGTGCAGAGAGCCAAGTCATCACGAGGTTTGTGTGGTAACAACAAGGGGAGAGTAGGACACACACAGGATACTTGTGTCAGAGCAAGCTCCAGGAAACACGCAGGGGAAGCTGTGCTTTTGAAATGTCCCCACTTATTTCATCACTTCTGTGCTATTCCAGAACACTGCTGGAGAGGTCAACAGATAAAGAACTCGCTTCAGCCAGGAGGCTATCTGCAGCACAGCAAAAGCCAGCCTGTGCCAAGAAACACTCATGGCAGTGCCATGGACCATACAGGGTCCTACTGGACCCCAGTAGGCTTAGCTGTCCACTTTATGCTGTGCTCTGACATGCTGCTTGCTGTGCTGGGAGTGAAAATGGAGCTACCAAAGGCAAGGGCAGCAAACACGATGGCACTTTATACTACATGGCATGAGAGATCAGTTCCATCCTCCAGGAGCTGGAGGATATCTATACATTGGCCAGTTCACAGCATACCAGAGTCAGCTTGTGCTCATAGCAAGTTCTTTGAGACAATTACTCCTGACAGACTAGCACAGGCAGTCGTCACCATAGCACAGCCACTCCCTGTGGTGGCATTGCAGCAGTGGTGCCCAGTGAGGTCATCACAATCATCAGTGGTGCTGTGCATTCTGTCACTAGAATGATCTCTGAACAATTTTCAGCATCAGCACTGATCTCTGTAGATGGTGGCTCAAGCATTACTGCAGACCTGCTTACCCCTGCAGCACAAGCTGTTGAACTCAGGTACACTGATAACAATCAATACTTGCTGCTCTCGGCACAGAATTTGGCAGAAGTGGCTCTCCAAAAAAGAATCTGTGAAATGTAGGGCACCAAGTATAAGGGACATCTGCTATGGCACCCTATCTATCCTGCCTTCTCTCCAGAAACAAACTGAAGTAACACACAGGGTGCATTATCTCTCTTTGCCTGCTTCACAGTCACTATTTTGATATTAAAGACCAAATCTTCCACTTAGCTGGTTAAAAAGATCTCACTCCTGTGACACTGGCACAAAAAAACCTCTATTCTCCACACAACTGGACCTAGTCTAATTGTCCAGGTCCACCACATGTCTCCAGATCCCATACCTGTACATAACCCTTTTCTTTTGATTAGCATGTGATATAAATGGATTTATCATTGCTCCCGTATGTCCCTTGTCAGTGATATGCTGATATACAAGTGGAAGAAACACACTCACCTCTTAGGTAACTGCTGACCAACCAGTCTGATTCAGACCACGGGCTCCTGTTCTGATGCTGTAGGATTATTCTTTCATGTGGTCAGCTGGGTGGCATTTTTGGGACCATCCTGACAGGTCTGAAGCTCTGTTGCACTAATGGACAGAGGAAGATTCTCATTATCTTGTGACTGGCCTGCAGTGAGCATAACAAACACCTGGATGTGTGAGCGAATATGGGAAACACCCAGACACTTTCTTCGAAGGCATCTGGAGGCTTGAACATTCAGCTACCAATACTGGAATGACATCTGCCATTTCTCAGCTGGTGGCATGGTTTCTTTAAAATTTGGTTCCTGATCTGCCGTTTAATTAGAAGAACAATTAAACTTTATGCACAAGTAAAAAACAGATCATATATTAGAGAGTCTCTTGAATTTTTAAGCAAGCTAGAAAGTACGTAAACATGTTTAGTGTAGAGTGCTTTTCTTATATCTTTATTTCGTTCTTTGTCACAGCAGGACAGGCAAATATGCAATGCACCTTCAACCAAACACATTGGGGGGTTTGGGGGTGGGGAGAGAAAAAAAACTCAGAAAATTGAAATCCTACCTTAAATCCACTCCCATATCTTGGTCTCCTATGAAGAGCAGTGGCTGTGAAATAGTCCAGAGACAGCAGTGTTCAAACCCTTCTGAAATAAATGCAGGCAGCTCACCTCACACTGATAGGTTGCCCTCATGGTTGCACTAGTTTTAAACCAACAGTATTGACTTCAAAGCAAGGTTTAACCTGATCTACACTTGTATGAGTGGTAGATCAAGCCCATTCTTGGTTCAACAGCTTGGGCAGTTCAAATTCGGTTCAGCTTAGAAATTTAGCACCATCGGTAGGGAACTTTTTATTTGAAATGAAAAGATGAAAGTCTACAGGAGCTGATGAGGATAGCAGGAAAAGCAGCCACTAAAAAGCCAATTGTTACACTTCAGGTCCTCTGCAGCTGCTGGTGTGCATTCCCCTAGACTCAGAGGACAGAAATGGCACAACAGACAGAATAATATAAAGAGACAGGAGAGGTGGACGGGGGAACCCCCTTGTCAATTTTGATAAGCTCAGGAAATTAAGGCTTTCTAAAAGATGAGGTGGGATAAAGGTACAGGAAGGGGCAAACAATTCAGGTACTCTGTCAAACAGATAACTCTTGAGCCTTCCCATTGCATGAAGGTCGGTCGAGATTTTATGTAGGATAACAAGGTGCTGGAATTGCAGCTTGCCAACAGAAAGTTAGTGTATTCATATTTATACTTCCACTGGATTAAAATATGACAGTTTGAACAATTTTTATTTATTGAAGGCGGTTTTTCAAAACCTTCTAAAACAATTACAGAGAACTGTATGCCTGAAGATGGAGTATATTCTAGGAAATACGTGATCCTTGCTAGATGTACTGATTCCCTAATAAGGACTCCATCAGGTTTGGGATTTATTTTTTTTTTTCTTCTTTATGTTAGCTAAAATAGAGTCTCCAAGTGCTGAACAACTCTAAATCTATTAAAATTGATGTAAATCTGGAAGAGCTCCACTGAAATTAGGCTGGTGGAAAAGCCAGTGCCAGATCATAACTAATGGGGAACATATAGAAGTCTGAATTTCCTGGGAGTTTTCTTACTGCACCAGTGGAGCAGGGATTTCTCCCTGACTGTTCCCCAAGCCCAGGGACAGTCAGCCTGTACTTTCTCTAATGTGTAAGGGATGGAAGAAATCAGAAGAGAGCATATAATAAATCAACTGACAGTCTCTGAAAAATAGCTGTCCTGTCTCCTTAATATGAGAGAGAGTAATGGCTTGAGGGCAGGAAGAATTCAGCTTTAGACAGAAAACATTCCCCTATAGGGGGACAAAAAGTGATCATTCTGTAGTTTAATCAATCTCAGGCCTCTCTTTGAGGGAAATAGCGTGTTGCCTGCAACAGCACGTGTAATAATGTTTGCTGAAATATAAACTACGGCCATATACCCCAAGATGGAAGGTCAGAAGTCAACTGAGGATCTGGCCGCAGATGTTCAGCAGCGGAGATCAAACCGCAATACATCAAATTCAGGACTTCCCCTTGAGGAGCAGGTTGCAGAAGTTTCTCAGCCCATCTCCTTCGCAGCGAGTGCACTCCCCCTGCGTGTTGGAAAGCTGTCCATCACAAACTGCCAGCTTACTCAGACACGTTTCCTAATTTCTCCTTGTCTCGGGCTTGAGTATTTTCATATTTATACAGCGAGTTCGCTCTCATCCGCAAACAGAGCTCACTTCAACCTCTGCAATGCTTTTCAAGTCCGTCTACCAAAGTGAAGAATCATATGACACCATTTAGTCCTCCCCCAGCCCCTGATACACGTTTCCTAAAGCTGACATTTGATATTATGGAATGTGTTGTAATCAATTCTTAAAGTTATAGCACCACCGGACTTTTATTAACTTGCACAACAACAACAAGAAGAATCCAACAAAAAATGGTCCCTCATAACCAATCAGCCTTGTTATATCCTGAAAGCTGCTTTAACAAGCAGGGAGTAATATAGTGTAATTGGTACTCCACAATTTAATTGTTCTGTTCTTAAATCTAATATTGCAGCTGTGGGTTAAGTTTACACCACAGCTTTCAAGAGAACATGAAAGTGTGGTACATCTGTGCAACAGAAAGCTAAACATCTCTCATCTGATGTGTTTACAATGACATTTGATAGCATGGAATGGCTTGGAGTTCATTCTTAAAGCTGCAGAACCACTTTTCAACGCTGTGAAAAAGGGAAAAAAGCCTCCAATCTCCTCTGAGCAACTCAGGCTGCATAAGCCTGGAGATCACCCTGCTGCAGGCATTGCAGGGAAACTGCTGGTTGTAGCAATTCCTTCAAGTCTTTGAGCACTTGCTTCTTGAGTGGTGTAAAAGGGGACAAGGACATCTTCCCCCTCAGATGACATAATCAATTCTTTAAAAAACAAACTACTCAATAAAGTTCTGCAACTAGACAAACAAAGCAATCCCTACCATGCGTAAAACAGACAAGAATATTTCAAGAAATGTTATTGGGTGGATGACTTTAGCACAGGCAGAAATGGCAGAGTTTTCAGTGGAGCAGGTGGCAGAACTGCTTATGGTGTCTCGAACTTCACATTCTGTATAACTAACAGCTTCAGCATTATGTACTTGTTAGTGAATTTATTAAGCCCACAAGTAGTTTGAGAAAGTTAGGAATGGGCTCATAAATGTCATCTGCAGTTTGTGAACTGCAAGTATCTGACTGTTTTGATCAAGGATTTTACGGGAAAGTTAAATGGTTCTTAAAATTATTTACTACTGCTACCCAAAAAGGGAGCAAGCCTCCTGAAGAACTCACGTTGTGATGAGATGTGATAGGCTGCAGGTCAATGCATCAGCAGAAAAGCATTTCTGGCTATGCCTAAGCCCAGATCTTTGTACATTACAAAGCTTAACAGCGTATCTAAGTGGCCAAGGAAGGGTCTGTGGAGAGGAGGAGGAATTCTCCCTTTCCCATCATCTGCTGTCAGAAATACATGATCTGATCAGGCTACTTTTCTTGTTCTCAGCATTAGCTGCCTTCTAACATTTTCTGTCCTTGGAGAAATGCATGATAGGGCAACTCAGTTACAGAGGCTGCTTTCTGCTCATTCCTCTGTAGCAGTCCGCACCGACGTCTTGATTTATGCTCTTGAGCAGATAAAAGCAATCTCACTGATGAAGCTCAGCTATATTACCATACTACACTGGAATACATTCAGTTTTTAAACTTTATTATTTCAGTCACAATTAAGACTATCTGAAGCCTCTTCACAAAAAGGGGCCATAACAAAAGCTGTAGGTTAGCAACTCGACCAATGGATGCACTCGTTCTGCATCAAAAGTACTGTGCGAAGGACAGATCGTCTGGGGAGGCCAATCTGTACCAATATTTCAGTCTCTGGGATACAGAAATTTGATACAATAAAATGCAACGCCTGAGCTTCCCCTCTTTTCAATTAACTGAGAAACAAAAATTGTCCTTAGAAGGGAAGAAATGCATTTGTATTGGTTAGTTTTCAGGTTTTCCTCCCTTTCATAGCATCATAATGTTCTCTTCATGGGTGGAAAACTTAGTCTTCAAGTTCAAGCCTAGATTCTTCATACAGTTCAGGATGAGATGACTTGGAATACCGGGAATATTTCAGATGTAGAAAATCACCCAATTCATCCAGAGCATTCAAAACCTGCAAGACCATGATACTGTGTCAATTCTCTTGGGAAAGAAATGAAGCTCCAGTAACCTCTTCTTTACAGCAGAACAAGAAGATCATAAAGCAGCAATTAAAGAAAGTTTTAAAAGTAAATGGGCAAATTTTGCTTTCATTCTCCTGTAGTGAATATCAACACAGTCGTAGATGCACAACAGCATCTACAAGAACAGAATTTACTCCTTCAGTAGGTTTTTGTGTACTAGAAAGTACATTAATTAAGCACAAATGAAAAAAAAAAAAAGAGGCTTTTTTTCTCTAAAAGCATAGGGAGATAATCCAGATAAAGAGTTATCTTTGCTTGTGCAAAAGGGATGTGTAAGGCAATACTTCAATATTACCCTATAGAGCCCAAAGACTGGAGCTGCCACTGCATTTTCTTAGGTGGGACTCAGCCTACAGTGCTGATCAGAGTCACCATGAATAGTCTGAACAATTTAAGATATTTTTAGTGCATTCTATTATCTTCTTGTATTAATATCACAGGCATAAGTGATAATGAGTTAATATTGTAAAGCAATTTACTGAGCTGTGTCCAGATCTTTCAGTAGATTCAAAAAGTAGTCAAGGAACTTGTATACCACAGAGAAGCAGCTCAGTGTTTTGGAGCATCTGATCTACACTCAAGAACCTTTCAGTATCAAAGGAGAAAACAGCAATTTTGATTTTGAGCCTGTTTCTGTTAAGCCACTAAAATGAGCTCAGGAACAAAAAGGAGTAATTTAGTAATGGTTTATGCAATGAGATAGCTTCAAGGTCATTAAGGAAGTTATTCTTGGGAGCTTGCCTTTTCATGGATAATTCCTCTTTTTAGTTCCAGGTTGAGATTCAAAACAAATTTTGCCAAAGGGAAAAGTTTTCATTGTGCTTGTTACCTGTCGTTACCCTGGGTTTAGGCACATTCACAAAGCATTTGTCCTAAAAACTTTCCATCTGCAAGTAATTAAAGTCAGGGCATTTCCATGCTCCCATAGTGTAAGAACATTTAAAGAATGCCAAGTACTACGACAATGATCCCACTTTCAAAGGCAAAAATACAGCATGCTCCAGGGTGATGGCCAGGGAGTGCTTCAGACCTTCACTGCTACCAGGAAGCACCAGTGTGCAGGTAGCAGGACAGAACATGCAATGGTGGCCCAAAAATGTAACGGGCTTGACACTTGGGGGTGGGAGAGGAGGAAGAAAATCAAAGCAGCAACCTCAAGAGACTAACCTCCAGAACAATCCCATCACCTGTGGCTGGTTACATAAGCCAGAATCTATGCAGTCAAACAGCAAAAGCTGACAATGACCAACACAAGTACATAGCTGTGCCTTGTGCTGTGCAATACTAGCTTTATGGTGTTGTACCTCCTTAGTAACTACTGCACCTTTAAGAGCAGCTGGAATTTTACACTGCACACATGCAAGGCAGATTTTTCAGTGTTAGTTTGAGAGGGGTCTACACTGGCAAGGAAGCTGGTCAGCCAGGCAGGGCTCGGGCCTCCAGCTCCACGTGAACTTCAGAAGGTAAATGGAGAGCCAGGGGCTCTCTGCAGGCACAGGTGCTTGTCTGTGTGAAGCACTGGCATCTTTAATGCCTTCCATGTTCACAGGTTCTTGCTTTGACCATCATACTTGTGCAGAGAGTGGAAAAAGAAACCCTGAAATTTACTGCCAAGCCTCTAAATGTTTCATGCCTCTAAGTCGGTTTATTCTGAGAATGAAAGAACTTACATCAAGCCAGGCCAAAAACACCTTCGGCAAGAAAGGGAGATGGAAAATTTCAAAGAGTTTATTTTAAACACATTTCTGACTGCACTGAAATGGAGGTTTGTGATGGAAGTCTCAACATATTCCTATCAAGATTTCTGATATCAGAGAAAGATACAGAACTGAAACAGGCCAGACAGCATCAATTAAACTTCATTACATTCAAACATTTCCCAATACTGTTTGCAATTTCCACCTGTATGCCCAAAGCTGTCCCATATACTTCTGCAATTCAAGAAACATGTGGAAATATGGAATTAAAATAAGGGTATGGAAAACTTGATTTTCAATTATTTCCATATAGTTTCAGGTTTCCTACTCTGAGAGTTCTGACCTAGCCTCTAACTTTTGTCTTGCTGTGCTCTTCATGTAGGTCTTTATTAGTGATGACAGATTTGGTCACTATTAGAAATAGAAGAACATAACAAGTTAACTATCCCATAATTTATTTTTTTAAAAATAAAATATGTATGGCTAAAATGCTTTTAAAGATCAAGTGACAAGAGCAGAAGAGCAAATGTAAAAATGAATTATTGAGATTCAAAGCAGCAGACACACAGCTTCTCCCAATCTCCTTGGCATCTGAAGTTAATTTCAGCAGGCCATCTGCTGTGCTTACCGTGTCTAACATCTCCCGTGTATGTGCCGCTGACACACAAAACCGAGCCCTGGATTCTGTGATGGGAGTAGCTGGAAACCCAACCACAACCACCCCGATATTCTTTTCTAACATGCGTCTTGCAAAAGCTCTAAGGAGAGAAGAAGAAAAAAAGTAAATTATCTCCCATAAATGGACCATAGAGAGAGAACATTCAAGCGTAATAAAACAGTGGGTAAAATCCTGTCTTCAATTGCAGTGGTTGGTAGTATTTTCATTGAATTCAATAAGAGCTGGAATTTTACTAGTAGGTCTGAGATTCTTTGCTGCTTAACAGCTCATGAAGCCAAGCGGGTGCCAAATACTAGGAGTGTGATGGCAGAGAGCACACTGTAGAATAGACAGGATTCATTTATGTCAATGAAAGGCTTTGAATGCAAATCAAAATATGTGGGCACTCACAGTCCCTAAGCATGGAAGAAATTTGGCTGCTGGAAGGTACGAGAGCTGGGTTCTTGCACATCAACAGGAATAAAGCAATCTGTGAGATGGTTTCTTTGGTCTCACTTACTCTGCCAGTTTAGGAACCCTTTGTGTTATATATACTACACCTACAGACGTAGCCACTCTAAGCTACTTGCAAATACTCCCTACAGCTCAACCCTTAAACTACTACTGACTTTTGGTCTGCATGCCCAACTCAGGGCACACGTGCTGCTTGATAGGTACTGAATGGTAAAACATGCAAAGACCATTCAAAGACCAGACAGGGATAAAGAATGTCCACCCAAAACAATCCATACATCAAAGACAATGTATCTCTTTAAATCATTACCAATTAAAACAAAAATTTCACATTCAAAATGCTATCACAAGTATTATTCCAGAGCAAGTTAAAAAAGGCTAAGAGAAATTTTAAAAATTCTGAATACTGGAACAGCTCAAAGCTACATCTAGGGTCAAATTTAAAATGGAACATAACTAAATGATGATTTCACCTAACAGTGTATGTTTCTCTTGTGAAGCCTTTACCACAAAGAACTTATGGACTTGAATAGGGTTTGTTTTGTCAACAGGTTTGTTTTTTTTCCCAGTACTTACCCTATCTTACCAGGCATATAAAGGAGTAAGGGGACAACAGGAGAGTCATCATTGCCATAAATAATGAAGCCCATTTCATGCAGTCTTCGTCTGAAGTATCTTGTGTTTTTCCCGAGCTGGCGCACCCTTTGGAGCCCTGAAAGGAGTCAGTCAGGAGAAGGGTCAGTGCTAAGATCATAAGCAGAGTCCAGTAACAGGCAAGAAACAGGGCTATTGTTCAATAATAGTTCAAAAAAGTTTGGCTGAAATATCTACGTTGCTCTTTGATTCAGAGGAAAACCATGGAATGAAGTAAATGCACCTATGTTGATTTTAGGATAGACAACTGACCTTCCTGTCCTTGTGAGGTGTCTTCTCACCTGTAAAACCAGTGTGTCTCCTGGGCACAGATAGCTGAGCAATCCCTTTTACTGTATTGCACTGAACAAAGCCTACTGAATGGCACACACCTATAGAGAAGCAGTTATGTGGCTTGGTGGATGTAGGACATGGAAATAGAGCATGTTTTCTCTCAACCAAATTAATGAAAAAGGGAAACAACCAATGTCTGCAGGTGTTGATACATCTCTTTTGCCATTAACAATGTTCCACAGGGGTCCTCATATATTTTAGCTAGTTCTGTGCATACATATTTGGGTTTACATTTTTTTTTTTAAATTATTCTGTGACTGTAAAACAGCTTAAAGCAGAAAATACTGTATTTTGGGTCAGCTCAAACTGATTTTTTTTGGCAATTCTTTAGACAGAGGAAAAGCATGCAATAAACTTTGTTATTACACAAGATCTGACCTTCTGCAGTTTGTTACCAACATTCAGTGTACCTCTGGTTCCTTTAACATGCACCTATATATGTAATCCCTTGCTGAGTTCTGCTCAGTTTCCCTGTTCTCTTGTCTTGCTATTACTACCTCAATATCATCATCTGACAATAGACTTCAGTCATTCAAGACTTTCAGAGACAAGTTTTGTTCAGCATTGCCCTGGCCTCATTCAGTCACCCATTTACTGATGCGTTCCTCCCAGCAAAACTGACAGGAGAGTTAAAACCAATTACTTTTAATGAAGGAAACAGACAAAAAACAGCAGAGAAAAAGTGTACTTGAAAATTAATCTCAGCCTTTTCTTTTGCAGCGTCCCTAAGGAGGTGGTTTCTGCCACATGCAGTTGCTTCCCCAAAAGAGCCACACTCAACACGACAGTAGGTAGGAGATGTTTTATGTCCTTTCCCCATTCCACCTGCACCATATTTCATCAGCAAGCTGATACATGTGGTGCTCTTGCAGTGCTGCAAGGTGCTGATGGGGATGGTGCCACCTACGCTGTACCCACACGCTGCTCGTTCCCACCACCTTCCCAGTACCAGTCCCAGGTTCACACTGCTACATGGTGAATCAAGCCAGCTCTGTCATCTGCCTGACCTTGACAGAGAGAAAACTGCCAAACCTGTGTCAAACAGAACAATTCTCTAAAGCTAATTGCTGTGCAGCTTCTTGTGCCCAGCAGAGGTGGTGGGAATATGTGGTAAGAGTGGGGTTTAGTGGGACACACCTCAGCTACACTCTTAACTTTCATCTTCCTGCTGTTTATCAGCCGATACTGTCAATATCACGTTGTATCACCAGACATGAACACTGAAGCCTCCAGTACAACTAATTTCCTCTTTTTCCCTTTGCTTTTAAGGTGCCTCTGCACAAATGTATTACATTTGCACTCTCCATTTACTTTTTTACTTTACTTTTTGTTCGCTTCATTATTCATTCATTACTTGCTGCTGTCACTCTTCTCTGACTGGATGCCTCTTTCCTAATATCCCCATCTTCCTGCTTGTAACCATAGTGGCCAGTTAGGCATTTATAGCTGCTACGTACCACCTTTGGCAGATTTGTCCTCAGACCACATTCTGCCCACCACCTGCTGTGGTTTTTCTTCTTATTCCCCCTTGGCTGAGGTGGGAATCACCACACCTCCACAAACCTCTTTTCCATTAATCATTTCTGAGCGCACGTAGGTTTGAGCAAGATCTACTGCTTCATCTGTTCTGTATCTTCCCGAGTCAAGGTTCTGTCAGTGTTCTGGCTGGGAAATTTATAGGGAAACTGGGACTTGCTTCACAGTGATCAGTGTTTTGCTGAACAAATTAAAAGATCTCATAAACCCAGTGCGTTTGTAACTTTATGCACAAAACTGCCCACGCAGACAACCTGTTAGTTACAGTTTCAGTCATTCAGTTTAAAGCATTCAGTGGAAGAGATCTGCTGGGTTAGAAAAGGCCACAAATAGTTTAACCATCTCTCTAATGCTGCTAAAACAAAAACAGCTGTGCCAGAGCAAGGAAAACAAATGAAACACAAAAGCATCCTACTACAAAGCTTTCCAGTCACTAATAAAAACAATAGTCTGTGGTATTTCCAAAAATATTTTTGGTGTAGTAGATCTCAAAGAACCAGGAGGAAATATTGAGGAGGAGGAGAAATGGGGGCAGGGGAGACGGCAAGGAAAGGCAGTCATAGGAGAACCGCAAAATAATGTGTCTGAAGTCTAAAGAGAGACTTTTTCCCTTGTTAGAATTTGTAAAGTTGCTATTAGCACCTCCTGAATGCCCAAATTACAAGGAGGAGGGTGGGGGAGTAACCTGAACTGGGGGGCTCAAAACCACTGCTGCTTCTTGCTGTCCTAGCAGCCCCTGAGCTAGTTTCCAAGCTCTCAGTCTACAGCATTTGAAACTACTAGATTTTCAATTAGGGAAAGTTTTCATAAATGCAGATGTTCTTGGCGAGTGCAGTTTAAGACTTGCTGCCTTCTTTCTGTTCAGCTGTTTACCACAAAGCTGGAAACAAAGCGTCAGCCACGCAAGATTCCGGGCTGTTGGGTATTTATCAAACCATGTGCACATGGCTCAGAGTTGATCAGTTTGTCTCTGCTTATTGTAGGTACCAGAAATTTCAACTACAAAGCAAACGGGAATCCAGTGAAGGAAACAGCAGAGCTGAAAGAAGGGTTCCAGGCAACACCCCAACGCTTGGACACCTCTTCCTTTCCCACTCTTCCCCTGCTAAATCTGTATCCTCAGCCAGTTTGTGATGGGGCAGAATCCCTTTCGAGACTCCCTATGGAACTCATTTCGAGCCAGCCAGTGCTGATGCAAAAGAGCCACTTTAATGTTTTAGCAACATCCCAGAATAGTAATTTCATTTGCAGGGATGCATTAAAGAGCCAAATAAAAGATCAGAGCACTCACATATATCTGGAGGGAAAAAAAGCACATTAGGAGATGATTGCTACACACACTGCATTTGTGGGTGGGTGGCTGGGAGGAACCTATTGCTTTGGAAAGTGTCAACACTTTCCTTTCTCATGTTAAGTTGTGTGGCCAAAGACCACATATACACATCATATACACAGCCATCTTATGTGCTGTCCTGATAAGAGCAATAAAGCCCTTAAAGTTTGTAACTGTATTTCAACACTTTTTTCCTGTTCTTTTATGGGAGCCACCAATGTCAGATAAGGAGGCAGATCTGAGCAAATTGTTTATTTTGGTCTTACTGGCCCAGTCTTTCCCCCACGCTGCAGATTAACTCCATGTAAGCATGATGAATTCAGTTTAGAATCAGATCTTAGTCCAAATTCACTGTGGTATGTTTAATCAAATACACAACATTTAAAAATTATTTTCTTTGATTCCTGAGGCTGTGATCTTCCATGCTTTATTATTTTCTGAGTTAAAATCTGCAGAGTCAGACCCCAGAGCTAAGACAATATAGCTACGTCTATTTGAGTGTAAGAATTTACCTGTATGGTACTAATTAGGGGATCAGGTTCTCAGAGAGTAAATGTATTTGTTCAAGGATTCTTAGTTTGCAGAATTCTTAAGGACTGACAGCCTATGCAAGTAGCTAATAATACAGTGTCCAGGATATTCAGATTAGTGATTTTCCATAAAACATGTGAGCCACAACACAGTTGTTTGGAGTAAAAAGCCTGGACTGGGAAAACTGACTGTTAAAATTAAGCCCACTAACACTCCAGAATTTTTAGCTAAGGTTAAGCATGACCTTGTTAAAGAGCTCTACATCTTTTTGTTACCTGAATTAAGACGAGACAGAGAGAGAGAAAACTGAGAAATAAAGGATTCTTAGATTTAAAAAGTTATCTTCACACTGCTTGGAACATACAGGGATACACAGCCAGCTGACTGGGATTTTGTTGAAATATAGGATTAATTACCTGTGTGGTACAACAAAACCAGATTTACTGCATCTGCAATCTACTGCTGGGAAATTGAGAGTTCACATTTGTTGTGTTTCTTTAAAAATATTTGGTTTACTGCAAAGTTCTAAGGTGTTGGTAATTCTGGGAAAAATGCCGATTGTGTTTTGATTTTATTTACGCTTTTTTGCGTATTGCCAGTTTCAGCTCATTAATTTTTGCAGGCTTTTAGAAGGCTTTATAAGTCGAAATTAACATGGTTTAGTTTGAGGAAAAATACAAAGAGGCAGCAAGAGAGAAATGATAAAAGATTGTGGCTTGCTCATAGCTTCTTTGAAGCAACAAGATTTTTAAGAGACCACTTGGAGTAAAGGACTTGGTAGATGCTGTGTCACACGCCAGGCTGTGGCTGCAGATCTGCTCTCAGGGAGGAGTTGCTCTGGAGTTTGACAGCAGGAAGGCATCCTGACTACACATCTGGGGGCCTGATCTCAGGCCGGTGTTACCTGGCACAGCTCCACGTGGTTCAGTAGAGCTTTGCTCTTTGTGCCAGCTGAGGACCTTATCCTGGCAGAGAAAGAGGCAGTAAAACTATCATCTCCCTGAAACAAAAGTTTGTTTTCCTCTTCCAGAGATGTCTGTTTTTCACTCCTGCAAGATTTTAATAAGCAGTGAAGCTGTCTGCATTCAGTTCCTGCACAAACAGTCTACCTTTGAACTCTTCCTGTAGTCTTCTACCCTTGGAAATTCTGACTCAGTATACTGAAAACAAGAATAAGCAACCTGTAGCCTTTCATATCAAGATCTCAGGTGTATTTTAATTGAAGGAGAGCTATTTTTCCTGAACCCATTCCAGGAAAGATAATCCCACGCTGTACTTTTTTTTTTGGCATGTGGTGGGCTCTTCAAGACACAAATCCACCTGCT